TCTGAACGCCTCTGATTGGTCATTGCATTCATAAGCTCAACAGCATCGTGTGTGATTGGTTAATGTGCAGTGCTGTATAAACGTGCCTGTCTCTGGCTCAGCGCCAGCCAGCGAATGCAGATTTGAATTTAGCAGCTGATGATATGACGCACTGAACGTTCTAAGAATTTTTTGTCTTTTGGAAGCTGCATTCAAAACCCACTTGGCTCAGAAATCTGAAGGGGCACGTGCCCCCTCACTTTGAATGGGCATGACGCCTCTGGTCAGAAAAATACAGATTTTGTGAGAAAAACAAAACTTTTTTTGTCATTTGTCTGCTTTTGTTATTTTGATAAATACATTAATTCTGTACATGAAGGAAAATGTACAGCCCCCCCAAGACACAGGGCTGTGTAATAATTACTTCATGGCTCTACCAGCCAAAATGTATGATAAATACATTAACATGGCACTATTTGTGTTAAATTTTAGGCCAGGCCTAAAATGCAGCTAATGTGTGTATCTGCAAAGGGTTTGGTTTGAAAAAGGCTGAAGACCGCTGATCTAGGAAAAGAGAGAAAACTATGGCATGGCGGACAAACACTATATTTACTGTATACTTTACACAAGTAGCACAATTGCTACTTGAACATTTTGATTTGACATATTCATTCACTACCATAAATCTAATAACCTCCAATAAGGGGTTTCAATTAACTAAAGAGATACTCAAGAAAAGTCTCAGTCAAGTAAAATGAAAGCCTTTCGTTATTTAGAGGCTGTAGGCTTTTGTGTGCCTTCATTTCTTAATGTCTCTTTCAATTCTATAAGCATGTAAGCTCTTTTCATTGGTTAAGATAGAAATCGGATTCGGTCCAAATGGCGTCCTCCTGTTTTCTAATGGCCATGCATACAAATGCAGAGAGATCGCAGACCCTGCTAGAACCCAGACACACTACACATAATCTTATTAACAGTGAGTCAAAGGAAATGGCCTGGGCCAAATGATAAGGCCTTAGTGAGTGTGTGCTGTTAGATTTCTTTCCGTAACGGGATCATATACTCTGACATAGAAAAATAAATATCTGAATATTTAGATCAACACTTAAATTATTTAACCAGTTTTAAATTTGCTTCAACACTGAGTAGTCTTATGTACAATAAGAAAAAAAAAAAACATCAGAATCTTCCCTGCAAAAAATGTAAACAGATGATTTAAGATCTCAAAGAAATAAAAAAGTAAATCTGCCCAGTAACACAACATTTCTTTGGCAGGTGTTTATGCATTAAATATATTTCAAAATGTACATTAGAATTTATTTATATCTCTTTTTTGTCGAAATTGAGAAACTGGTCAGATTCAAAGATCACTTATGAAAGAATGGAGAGCGTCCATTGAGAAACCAGGGACCTCTACTCATTATTTGTTAAAGTTTCTGATGGTTTAGGAAGATAGCTCTTGAGAGCCCAGCAGCACTATGTTTTTATTCAGTTCATAAGCAGTTTGCACCTGCCAGGGCTGGACGGGGTCTGTCGTCCAGTTACTGGCCAGCTGCACGGGCTTTCTGCTGCAGTAATGCGGCCCTCTGCTCCATCATGGCTCTCATCATGGTGGGGTTAATAGCTGGATTCATAGCAGGGGACATGGGCCGCAGTGGATATTGGCTGGATTTTGAACTCATTAAAACACACTGGAAGTACGGTATCTTGCCTGTAATACAAAGAATTAATGACTAAGTTCTGAGGTCGTAGAAAATAAAATAAAATAAAATAAAATAAAATAAAATAAAATAAAATAAAATAAAATAAAATAAGATAAATAAAATAAAAAATTAATCCTGATCAAATTTATACTTGTAAAAACACATTTATATATTTATTGTAATATCAAAAAAGAATTTCGTTTTGTAAAATAAAATAAATAAAATAAAATAAAAAACTGTAATTTCAAAAAAGAGATTTGTTTTGTATAATATTTATTATAATAAAAACAATTATTATATAAAAATATTTTCATATTTACACATACATGCATAATAAATAAACACACAAACTCCAGGTTCAAAAATAAAATAAAATAAAATAAAATAATAATAATAACTGAAAGCTATTGTGTCTCTATTTATATAAAGTTGTGCTTGGGGTTTTTACAGCAACAGGGTACATGCTGAAGATTTCTGTAGCCAAAAAACAAACAAATAAGCAGTTCTAAAAATACATTTATTGATTTATTGCAATATTAAAAATGTGTTTAGTCTAATTTTGGTCCTGTACTTTTATAATTAAAAACTATTCAATATTATAGAAATAGAAAGAAAGTATTTATTATTGTATTAAAATATGCTATATGACTAAGTAAATAGATCACAAAATCCAAGTTCAAACAAACAAACAGAAAATAGCAATATTGCATCTAATCTTGTACTTTAGGTTTGTCTGGCAACGGGTTACATGCTATGCAAAATTGCATATTGCACTGTAACATGATGTACAGTGTCTACAGTTCCTTTACAGAGGATTTCTGTAACAAAACTACTATAATGCAATGTTTGGTGTTGACAAGTTCAGCAGAATTAGATTAACTTTACCTGGCTTTTTGCCTTCTGTGACATTTTCCTCTGCTTTCAGGTCTTCTAATTGAAATAGAGAGAGAAATTAAAAAAATGGACTCATTTCAATATATGATATAAAGTGCTGCAGAAGCAAATCTTTAAATGACAGGGCAAGGACTTTCAGTTTAGTATAGAATATCTGTTAATGTGACATTTAGTTATCAGGGTTGTTATGAGGTGACATGACAAAGCTCAGTTCTCAGAGGAATGATTTTTACATGCAGCAGACCACGATATCGGCAAATACCCACTGTGGCAGAGACGAAGACTTGAATTTTAAAGTAATGGCGACCTTCAAAAGTTACTTTAAATGGATGAAAACCAGACTTGAGAATAAAGTCACTTGAGACCTTGGTGGGATTTCATATCTTTAAACTTACAAGGAGAAACACATTTTTATATTAAAATTTCTTGGTCGACTATAGCATAAGAAATTGTCATCTGAAGAATAAGTGGCACTAAAATAACACAAAAGTTGCATTCGCAGGTGAACTGAGGGGATAGTCCTGATCAAAGCAATTTGCTGTCGCATGATGCATTACATGCAGAAGGAATCAGAAAATAGACATAAAAACTAAGGAGGAAATTCAGAGTGAACTGTGCCCGAAGACAACATGTCTAAATGTTGGCCAGATTAACTTAATCGGTTTTCATAATCATCCATTTTTGTGCTGTTTTCCAATAAAAATATCTGTACTTCCTTAACCCTTTTAAAGTCTGACATATGAAATACGTTTATTGAGCCTTCTGACAATATTATTATTATTATTATTATTTTTACATTTATTTATTTTATTTTATTTTTTTATTTATTTTTAGTTGAGTTGAGTATCATATTTGATACATTAGGCTTTTATGGCTCATCTACCACAATATAGGAGAATATGGAGCTCATATACATACACATGAAGAGGGAAAAAGTGCTTCCATTTTATTCAGAGGCACAAACTGAGCAAAAATGTGCAATTTGGTGCAGTTGCTGATATTTATACAGCCAAAAAGTAAGATGAAATTCTAATTTGTACGAGATCTGTCAATATATCTCCCAAAAATGGTCTAAGATCATATTTAAATGCTTAGTTTATGAATAAAGCTTTGTAGTTTTTTTGTGTGTTATTTTTTATTTTATTGTTGTTGTTTTTTTTGGTTTGTTTGTTTGTTTTTTTTTACACATAGTGCAATGCAATACAATGATGACTGAGAGATAAACAAATAGACATTCTTGATGTATCATATTAGATACTGATATTTTAGAATGATTTTCTAAAAAAAAATGATGTGTGGATAATCAAGTAAACCTAAGCTGCTTTAATCAAGTGATTATTCGCCTTGAAATAGTAACTATATAAAAGTGACTTATGTTTACTTCCTAAAAATCATTAAAGATTTCACAGCAAAAAGCCATGTGAAAGTTTTACCGAAAGGTCTTTTACTTGCTAAAAAAGTGCAAACTAGCAATCAGATGACAGAGGGAATGTAGTAGATTGTGAACAACAGGTTTTTCAGCTAAGTTTTGATCATGTTAATAATTTAGAGGCCTTGGAATTTTGTGTATGAAATATGATACAGTAGGCTTTATAGGGTTAAAACAATGTTAAGCAAACTTTAGTGAGCTCTTGCATAATGTTACTTCTTAAGTAAATTTATCTTGTTTTAAAGGAGTCATATGATGCGTTTTCAATTTTTCCTTTCTCTTTGGAGTGTTACAAGCTCTTGGTGCATAAAGAAGATCTGTAAAGTTGCAAAGACTAAAGTCTCAAATCCAAAGAGATATTCTTTATAAAAGTTAAGAGTCAGCCACACCTACCTAAAACGGCTCGTTCTAACACGCCCCCACATATCTACATCACTATGTGGGAAGATTTGCATAACGCCGCCCAAATGTTCACGCAAAGAAAGAAGGCGTAACTTTTATTCTCGCTGTAGTATTGTTGCCGCCGCCGCCATGTTGTGAAGGCACTGTGTGATTCGTTGTGAAAGTGAAACTACTTTGTTTGGCCTCCCAAAAGAGGACGATATCCGCTTCGTCATGCCTGGAGCTGATCCGTGCTGGTCGATGGGGAAATACTACAACTTTGCGCTGTCGATCGCCGGATCGGCTTTCACCGTGGACGAAGCGGAGTCCAGCCCGGGGTCGTCACATGTCCTTGCGGACGCTCCTTCGTCGAAATCGCCGGCCGCGCCGTTCTCAACCCCGTTTCAGAAAGGCGGGGCATAGAGGAGAAACAATAATGTACAGTATGTGGAAAATAATGTGTTTTTTGAACCTTAAACCGCATAAACACATTTCATTACACCAAATACACAAAATAATGTTCTTTTTAGCAGCATCATATGACCCCTTTAAGGATACTTACTTATTTCTACTGGAAAATAAGACAAACATACAGTACTTATGTTTTGCACTGAATAGTGCCTTGTTAAATTAGACTGCAAGTGGTTTGAGAATAAAACCTAGGGTTTTCACTGAAAACACGCACTAAAGTGGCACAACGATTAGGCAATTTGACCTTCAGTCTCTAACAAGCAAGTGAAGCGATTTGTGTTGTTAATAAAAGTAGGCAGGCATTACAGTAGAAGAATGACATTAGTAGTTCACACAGGGCCAACCAGCCAGCAGCATTAGTGTATTAATAGCTGCATTTAATTTGCAATTTCACTAATGCTGTTTAAAAATAGTTTAATCTCTCTGGTTTGAGTGGGAACCTTGAATAGTAACAATGTGGTTCATTTGATTGATTGATTGAACGGTGAAGTTAATACATCCGGTGAATAGGGAATTGTACCTCAGAGTCGCCTGTAAGTTTTTGAAGTTCTCCCAAGTTCTACAATATGCAGGTACGCATGATCACTATGAATGCTTAGCAATGCATTTCTATAGTCTGCAGATGTTTCAAACTGCTTACATAAATGCATGCATTTGATTATTGCTTATGACTTCTGAATGATTAGGTACAGCATTACTGTATATGAAGCAAACAGGCTACATTTAAACTCAAAAAGCAGCTTCACACCATACTCGTTCACACCTCATGGGTGTCAGAAAACATCTGAACTTACTTGCTGGTGCTGGTGCCTCGGCTGCTTTCTCTGAAGGCAGAAATTTGAGGACAGAATTGTGGTTAGCAAAGATCAACCTGAAAGTGATGGCAAAACAGGGGCTCTGTTCCAAAACCTAGAGAGATGCCTTGCTGTCTTATTAGGCAGCATTCTAACTGAAATAGGACCTCAGAAGTGACTGACGGCACACAAATAGCGCTCCACATGGAAGTGACTAACCAACTGATTGCAAAAGAGTTTGCAGTTAACACATTGCTAAGCTAACAATGCAGTACTTCTAAAAAGATACAAAATAAATATTAGATTTTTTTTTCAACACTTCTCTGTATTAACTGAAATATATTTATAAACCACTTTTCCACTAAGCTTCATTCTGGGGTTGCTTTCTCTATTTCACTGCACTACATAGACTAAGTTGATTAGTTTATATATTAGTTAACTGTGTAACCCAAATGAGTAAAATTCATGCAATTCAAGTACATAAATCTTAAATTTATGCCTAATTATTTTGTGTTTTTTTTTGTAAAATAAACATTGATTTTCAGTAAATATTTACTCACTCTAATGTTGTGGAATACAGGAAAACAATATAATATAATATATAATTAGAAAATAAAATAATCAATGATTATTATATAATCATTAAAATACTAAAAGAAAAGTTCAACTCAGATGACATGAGGGTAAAAATATAATGATAGATTTGTCATTTTTGGATGACTTACCCTTTAGAATGATGTCTAAATAGTCAGCACACTAGTTTTTAAAACAGAGGTATTGACTGCTTCATACCTTTGGTTTCTTCTGCCGTTTTCTCCTCATCTGGAACAGGTTTTCCTGGAGGTGAAGGAAAATAGTGCTTGTCATATTTTCTTTCAGTCTCCCGTGATTTCACATTTACACAATATGTGAATTTGACACCTTCATAATTGCACGTCAAGTATCCATGCTAAGTCTAAGTTTAAAATCAGAGTTATTTCTATTCTTTAGGTGTCAGGAACACATGCGCAGTTATGTGATTATATAGTCATGGAGCAGAACATGAAAGGTGCACTTCCTGTCATAAAAATAGAGAAATTCTGACATGACTTCATCTTAAGTTATATAACTTGACAGATCCAATTTTCCTGTGCCAACTGAAGTCTAGCGAGATTTTAATATTTATTATTTTGCTTGATCCACCTTATAATCATCCATGCAGTAAGTTGTTTGTATTTTTACAAAAACAAAGAAAACATGTACCAGTGTTCACAACACAAAGCATCCATTGGAAAATTGATATAAAAACAATTCCTCAATATTTTGCCACGCTTGTCTATTTCGTGCTGTGAGTTGTCAAGGATAAAATTCGGATACTTTAGATCCAGTTTTAGGCTTGTTAGCAATGGAAATCAAAGATATTTTCTCTCTTTTTTGGGGGGGATATTTAAAGATACAGAGATGTCTATCAGGCTTTTTAATGCACTGTTAAAATAATCATTAAAACTTACCCACAACTTTAATAGCTTGTTTGGCTTTTGGTGTTGATGCTGCCTTTTTCTTGACTAATGATCAAACATAATCAAACATATTAGATTGATGCTACAGTATATATTATATAACACAGCATACAATATATATTTTAAAGAGCACTATATTTAGCCTACTTTTAGTCACGCTTGTCAATTACACTAAACAGGAATTGCTAACTCTTGCAGCATTTGATGTGTTAGCCTTTTGAAGATTTCAATGAACTAAAGAAGTTAAAAGCACATAAATACTGTATACTGGTTTTCTGTCAAGAAGTCAATAAGTATTGCATGCAATAATTATAGTCTATTAACAATCTAAAATGCAATGACCTATCGCTCAAGATGGACAAAATCATTATTCAAATGTACAGTGGGTACGGAAAGTATTCAGACCCCCTTAAATGTTTCACTCTTTGTTATATTGCAGCCATTTGCTAAAATCAATTCAGTTAATTTTTTTTCATACTTAATGTACACACAG